CATCACCTCTGTGGCCTCCGCTGGACCCTCTCCAGTAGTTCATCGTCTGTCTTGGTCTGAGGAGCCCAGAACTGGACACAGCACTCCAGATATGGCCTCACTAGGGCCGAGTTCTATAACTGCTTGGAGTCTGCCGCTCCTGAAGCAATTTTTGGTTGGTTTTTTTTTTTTTTTTTTTTTTTTTTTTTTTTTTTTTTAGAGAGGGGTGGTTTTGGAGTGGGGTATTTTTCGTTCTTTTTATTTATTTTTTTTTTAATGTAAAACTAAACCGTAGGCGAACAGCGGGTCGCCAGCTGCCTTCGCGGCTCCAACCCCGAGGAAAACCGCGGCGCGACAGGGAGCGCCTGTGCTGGGGTGGGGGGAGAGGAGCTTTCCCAGCTCCAGCTCCTACCGCCGCAGCGATCCCGGGGAGGCGGGTGAGCCGCTTCCCCACCCAAACCTCCAGCATGGGCGGACGGGCGGGCGTCCTTCCTCCTCCTCCTCCTCCGGGCGCTGCTCCCCGGGGAGCGCAGGGGGCGCGGATATGGGTCAAGCGAGACGCCGCCCAGACGTGACGAGCTGAGGTGAAAGGGGTGCAGTAGGAGGGAAGGAAAAGTCACCCTCTTCCCTCAGGTTAAAAGCCTGTGAGAGCTGCGCCGGTTGTTTCGGTTTCCCAGAGCCGGTGTCACGCCCGCTCCCACCGAAGGGGCAGCAGTGCCAAAAGCCGGGGCCCCGAAGCCCCCGGCGAGCCGCGGGGTGGGCGGTGTAACCTCCGCGTACAACTGCGGGTCCTGCTCCTGCCGGTTGTAAAGCACGAGAAATGGTGCCCTTTCTGTGCTACCTCCCAGGGTGACCTGAGCTATAAATCCCATCCTATCTCAGACGGAAGGAGCCTTTTGTTTGACCTTTCAGAGAATCTATTTGATATTAACCCGAGTATCTGTTAATAAAGAAGGAGGAGGGTCTGCTCCTCCGAACTCTTCATTCAAGCAGTCTTCAGCTCTGCATTTTTAAGGAGACTGCTTGTGTTAATAGGGATTAGACACGCTTCTAAAGACTGGAGGGTCTTGTACCGGCTGTTTAACACACAGGCAAGTGTTTGAGTTTTATTAACACATTTTCACAGTCAACATGGCAGCAGCAGAGATTTCCAAAGGAAGGATCATCTTAGGGATGGAAGCATAACTTGCAGATACACAAACAGATATTGAAAACAAATATAAATATGCGTACATGTTAAAGCTTCACATCTTCGTGATATACAAAGCTGTCATTTATTCAATTCTACGGAGGGGAAGGGAATGAATCTTTAAATTGGTAAAAACTTCTGCGTCTTGAAATCTGGCGCTAAAGAAACTCCAAAAAGTGCGATGGGTGTTTTGTCTGGGAAATAAAAATTGCACCTTATTCTTCATAGTACACCATGTTTGGTACAGAATTTTTTGTATGTTCACCTCCCTGACCCTGTTTACACCAAAAAAAAGTACAAACAAACTCAAACCACATTTTTTCCAGAAAATGCTTTTCTGAAGTGATGTGCAATGTTCCTTTAACTTGCCTGTGGCCTGATTTGGGAATGCCATATTTTGGGTGTGTTGGTCTAAAATTTCCTATGGTTTTTGGCCAAAAAAATCAAAGACACTCCACAACACTTTCTGTTTCAGTGCTTGTTCCATTCCCTTCCTACATAATTTTCTCACATTGTTACTTTTATCTATAGAGTGTGTGTCAAGACTAGAATATTTCATAGCTGCTCTCTTGTTTGAATTTCCAAGTCCTAAAAGAGGACTAAGCTCCTTTTTTTCCTTTCTTTCCTCATTTTCCTTAGTTACATACATACATAATTATGTAAGTTACATACATACATACATACACATTATTAGGGAGAGATGCTGATATCTAATTTGAGCTGCAAACATCTGCAGTTTCTTCCTCGGAATTAGAAATGTTTAGAACTGTAATGCTGACACATTCAGCATTACAGTGAGCTTGTGTGGTTATACACATGCTGTGTAATCTTGACATTTTAATCTTAAGAGTTTGCTGCTGCCAGCATTTCTTAGGCATGTTTTGGATTCCTCACATCTACTGCTTGAGCTTCCTTGTCTTTCTGAGTCACCTGTAGTTTCCTACAGTATTGTCTTCCCTCTTGTAAGGAAAATATAAGTACATGTTTTTGCACATCATTTTTACCTGCCTGCTTTTAAGTATTCCCTGGTTGGCCTTTATCTTTAAGCTTTTCATCAGGCTATCTGCCACCAGGTAAAAGCAGAGATGAAATAAAGTTTGAAATTCTTTACGTACCTAGTGACTGGGAGTATGAGTTCTATTTGTGACCCCTCCTCTTATCCAAATAGAATGTAACATTTGTTCTTAATATTTTTTTTGCTTTCTTCTTTGTTTTAACATCACACTGGAAAGAAAATAAATAAAATAAAATTAATTGCAAAAATCCAGCTTAATCGATTTCAGATGCTTTCATCTAAACTGCATACTCCAATAGTCAGCAAATCCAGTTTGCCAGTACAGATGGCATTGTCATGCTGAATCCTGTCACATCTTCCTGTATTTCCTTACAGATAAATAAATACTTCTTGACCCATCTTGGTTGTTAAAGGCAGTGGGGTATGTGCATTAGTCAAGGCAGGTAAAGTTCAACAGACTGCCAGTTTAGGGTTCCAAAGACAATTGTTTTAATTTGATTTTTCATCCAGGTAAAAACAATGCTAAATTCTCCAGGTGATCTCCATTTGGGCTGTTTTTATGTTCAAGCAACCATGCCAGCCCCCCCCCCCCAAAGATCTGGAGAAATAAAATAAATTAGATATAAGTTATTTAAACTACAGCTGAGAATTGGGAATGAACCCTGTCTTAATCCTTTGTCCTGAGCTTCCCTGGTGTGGGTTACAAGTCTAACGCTGGTTCTGTCTCCCACAAAACAGTGGAACTGCTGAGATAAGGGAATAAAAAAAATGTTTTCTCTAAACCTTAAAATCCAAAAGCATAGATTAAAATGAACTTAAACCACCAGATTGGGAGTGAACCCCATAACATTTTATGGAAAGTACTAGTAAATTCTCTAAAGTCTATTTTAAGAAAAATATACTTTCTGTTTAAATAACGTTTTAGATATTACCATGGGTTCTGGCTTAGAAGCTTTATTCAAACCTTCTGAACCCTCTATTCAGCACTGATCAGACCCCACTGGGGATGCTGTGTCCCATTCTGGGCTCCCCAGTACAAGGAACACGTGGACATACTGGAGCAGGTCCTGTGGCAGGCCACAGACATGGTGAAGGAGGAGAGGCTGAGAGAGCTGAAGGGAGAGAAGTCTTGGGGGTATCTTTTCAACGTGCATTAATAGCTAGTGTGGGAGTGAAGTACAACAGCTGAGGAACAGACCCACTGCCAGCTTCATTGCATCTGCTGAAAGAGCAATTTTTGGCAGCTGGAGCCATTACCCTTTTAAATTGCTGCAGATAAATCTGAACAGTGCTCAGGGATCAGAGCTTTTACATAGAAGCACCCATTTAGTTTGTATAGGGTAAGAAAGCAAGTGTCCACAATAACTCATAACTTTCTTCTGCTTACACAGTCCAACTAAATTAATGTGTTCAGTTCTGTTGGGCTTTGGGGGGGCTTCATGACACCAAGCAATTTCAGAAAAAGCTTTGAATTAAGTACATTTTAGCAATTAAATACTCTTCCTTTAAGCGAACTGAGGGAAAAGAAATAGTATATAATGTTATAACTTTTTATGACAAAATGCTTCTTTATCTTGATCTCAAACATTGGATGACAAGAAATGGCATCAAGTTGTGCCGGGTTTAGATTGGATATTAGGACGAAAGGGTTGTCAGGCATTGGGACAGGCTGCCCAGGGCAGTGGTTGAGTCACTATCCCTGGAGGTATTTAAAAGACATGTAGATGTGGCACTGGGGGACATGGTTTAGTGGTGGACTGCACAGTGCTGGGTTAAGGGCTGGACTCGATGATCTCAGAGGGTTTTTCCAAACCTAAATGCTTCTAATATTCTGTCATTAAGAGCTTCTTTAAAAATCCTTGGCTAGAAATAAAAACCCAAATTAAAAAGCTGTTTTTAAATACTGTTGACCTTAAATATGAGAGGTCCTCTCAGTGTTTACTTCAGGAGAGCAACGTCATCCCAAAACAAAGATTAGCTTTGAGGAAGTTTTCTTTTGATTAAGTGTGAAGGCTTTTTCAGTATGTTAGATGATATTGTTTTATTTTTTAAATATACTTCAGTGCATTTTTATAATGTAGAATTTTACTTTTTTATAATGTATTTTTTAAAATGCATATGGTGATTTTTCCTCATTTTTGTTTAGAAGTGTAATCAGTTTATCTCTTCATTTGTCAGCATCACATTTTCAGCATTGGTGAATTGCTGCTATCAGTGTTTTTAGAAGCACAGAATTAATAAATGAATGCCTAATGAGTCCCAGCTAGGTGGCACTGGAAAATGCATTTCCATTCTCTAAGGAAATTATGCAGGTACTGAGCTGAAGAAGCTGCTTTAGCTCATCTCTTTAGGGTCTTCAAAATGTCAGTGTAATTCCTTACACTACCCAAGCTATAGCAGGAAATATCTCATGAACTTGTACCACAGCAAATTCTGAATAAATTTATGAAACACCTCATTGTGCACTACTTTTAATGAGCGCTCCTTACTTTTCCTTTTCAGTGTGCACCCTGATTTGTTACCCTTTTTTCCACTCTCTCATTTGTACTAAAAGATATAATTGTAATTGTGAAAGTCCTCTTAAGAATCCAGTTTCTGGCAGCACTGTAAGACACATTTGCTCTGTTTTCTGCTTTGGCAGTAAACCCTACGTTGTTTTTGGGCAAAACAAAGGTGCATGGCATTAGCAAACAGAAGACACTACAAATCATGTTTCTTCACTGAAAGCCAAGTTTAAATGCCATATTCATCAGATCAGACATCTGTAAACTTGCAGAGTGTGCTGGAGGGAGGTGTCTTTGCACCTGTGTCCTTGCTATGCTGGACCCAAAGGATTCTGCGAGCCTGTGGAAGCAGCTGCTCCCAGCCTGGCTGCAGCTGTGCCCATCCCTCATTACACACAGCTTGCACCACAGTTGTTTCCCCATGTACTGTTCGAACTCTCCAGCCAAGCCTGGTCCAAAAGACGCATAAGATCCAGAAATAGCTCCATATTAGAGTTTTGAGAGGGATTATGAGAGGTTTTCTGCATAAAACTCTAGTATGATCTCAGAGGATGTTTTGAAATCCCCAACAAATTACTTCTCACAGAGGCTGGATTAAGATCTGTGGAGTAAATGCAGTTACAGGCCTGTGCTACATCACAGAAAGGAACGAGTAAGAAAAACTTGAATTATTATCAGTATTATGGAAACAGCTCACTGTTGGTATGTATTGCTTCAGTCTTTCAGTTCTATTGTATAGTTTGAACAGCAAAGATTAGAGATAGTCCTGTAATGAGCAATGAACACAAAAGTTGTATAATCTCCCTCTGGCTTTTACTACTTCTCTGGATCACAACAGTGAAGTAAAAATAGTTAGAAGAGAATAGACAAGCCTGAGGATTTTGGCTAAGTCATTGTTTCCCAGGGACTGCGTACCAACTGGTGGCTACACAAAAAGGAAAGAAAATAAGGGACATGGGGTGTCTCTGAAAATTCATGCTGTATTTCATTTTCTTCTTTTTAAACCAGCCTATGTACATTTTGGATCCTGTATTAATTTTGGCTCACCTGAAACCTTTCTATTATAACTACTAATTCCTTCTATTTTTATCCGTCACACATATTTTTTTGCTATCTCATTTTCTTTTCAATAAAGCTCCCCCTGAATTAATGCCTGTGTAGGACTCAGAGGGAGGAGGCTCTGTTGGAGGGAGGAAATTTAATAGGGCTGTGTGTAGGAGGATGAGCAGGTCAAGGAAGAGGAGATGAACCTCATGCTTTGCAAGGAAGGGTAAGGATGGTATCAAAATAATGAGGTGAATTAAACAGAAGAGAGAACAGCAGAAAGGGAAAGGAATGGAATGACCTTGTTTTAATAGAAACAGAGATCAATGGCAAGGGAAGTGTTCAGGGAGACAATCCATACAGAGCAGTAATGAATCACGGGAATCAGTGCTTTAGGAATAGGATGCAAACAGGAATAAAATATTTAGAAGACTGCTGCATTTACCAGGCTCTTCCAAACTGCAGTGTCTTTCATTAGATTATTAAAACAGATGCGTACTAAGGAACATTCTTTTACATATTTACTTACTTTAAGAAGTCACAAAATGATCAAGGATTGTCTGACTAGATTAGCTGTGGTATTTTGCATATCAAGGCACTCAAACTGACTACTTTGCAAGGCAGCCAGGTGCTGGAAGACAGTAGCTTACTGTTAAGGATCAGGCACTGTGGAAATCAGTATTTCCTGAAGATACAAATCTTTTACATAATCCTTTCTGTATTATCCCCTATATCCTATCCCCACTAGATTTATGAAACCGGCGATTCACCACTGATCCGATTACTCCAGTTAGCACCAACTGAAAAGAAAACAACAAAAAAAAATGTACCTTCACCTCAAAATGCTGCGAACATCCAGCTGACTCTGGGGAAACAGGAGCTCCGGGAAAAATCTGGGATCTGGCAGCAGGTATTGACAGTGGTATTAGGACATAGAATTAAGGAATTAATTGAGCAAAGGTAGATCTAAATAATTTCCGTAGCATTATGTCCATAACACTTGACCAGATGGTAATACATTGATAAGAGGTGCTACTGACGTTACAGCAAATAATCTGTGGAAGTACCAGTAAGGAACACAAAGCCAGTCACAGCTGTTACCTCGATGGATACTCTGTGTGAAATTTGTCTTCTTTATGTTCATGGGAGGTGGATTGTGGGATGCGTCCACTGAGTTGTGTAGTGACTTAAATATGATGTCAAATTATCACCCAAAACTGTTGATCATAATGTTATTAGTAAAAGCTGGACCATTGTATCTCTGCAGCTGGCAGCCACCTACTCACCTACCTCAGGAATAAGCGGATCTGTTTCTGTTAATGAGGATTAGACACCATTATGGAAACTTGTGATTTACATATGCCCAGATAAATGCAATTAAACTTGTGATATGCTATTGTACTTCATTTAAAAAACCCCAAAAACCAGCAGTATCCTAGCACTGAAAAAGCCTCCAGGAATTCTGATCCAGACTATGACACATTGCAGCCACATTATCCTGACTATCTAGAATTATCTTTTGTTACTGCTCTCTGCTGCAGAGTTTCACAAATGTACTTAAGGATTGTTTCATTGCACTGGTACTACAATCCTGATGAATGCAAAAAGGCCCCAAATATCCAGAGATTTTTCAAAACTTAGTCTAGTGGTTCTCATAAATCCTAAACTCCGAGAGAAATTTTCAAGAGAAAACGTTCCTGGAAGGCTTTGGTTTTCACATTCACAAATGGAAGGCCAGAGAGATGCTCAATAGGATTGTTTTAACCAACTATCTGCACCAGATGAAGAAGCTGTACACTTTGTGTCAATGAAAAAAGCCAAAGGAAGAGGAAAAGAATAGAAGGTTAGCAATGCACAGCTTATTTTCTTAATTCATGGTCCATTTAGGAACGGACAGCTAATTTTGCATTATAACAATATTTTTTATTATTCTTAACTAACTCTTGCTTTTTTTTTAATTGCAATTTTTTAATTACTCTGCCAAACTCACCACTAATGGGTTCCTCTTACACAAAAAAAGCTAGCTTTCTTCTGCATGTTTTCGTTCCTTTGTTATGTTCTTATGAGCTTGCAAATCTGTAAGCACTTTTCTCCATTTGCAGGCCAATGTGGGGAGGTCAGGATGTTTATAAGGACCTGGAATTCCAAAAAATTCATTTTGTATTTTAGTTTTGATTATTGCCACTTAAGCATAATGACAACATCCATCCAGCTAAAAGTTCAGTTTCACTGGAAATTGCTTTTTTTTCCAGTGAACCACTGCTAATCAAAAATGTATGAGCAATGCTTTCATAAGTAAAAAAAAAAATAGTAAAACAGTCTCATAAGTAAAATAAAATAAAAAATGGAGAGTGAACAACTTTCTGTTCTAACATGGCCATCTGTCACTTATAAAGACATCACCCCATTAACCTGTCTAATCAACTCCATTCTTTTTTCAAAGTTGGTTAAGTAAGTTTATGAGGAGACGTAGATGTTCTCTTGATTAAATCTGTTGTAAAACGGCCTCCCTGGTGTTCTGCTTTGTGTGCATTTACACATATAAAGGTAATTACAAGTACATATCACTACTGTAAATTCCATGCTTGTCATATTACAGTACCTGACATTTTCATTTCCTCCTGGTGAAAATGAAATCTGATAGTTTCTGTTCAAGCAATAATGACCAATTAGAATTTGTTATTATTAATGTCTATCCTAAAGTATTCCAAGTCATGAGGTGGTTTCCTCCTAGGCAGCTGAATTTATAATGTGGAAAAAAGGGGGTTGACATGTTGCTATACCACCTTCAGCCATTCCCCCTCAAGACTGGTTATTCCTTCAACAAACTGGGAGATCCTTACAGAAAACCCACAATACAAGAGAGAATATTACTGAATTCGGGTTTAGAGTTGAAATAACTGATTCTCCTCAGCAGAAATGTCTGCCTCTCAGCTTTCCTGCCTGACATTTTGCTTTTATCACAGGAACCAGAGCTCAGTTCTCCTGCAAGTGCCCGTAGCTCTGGAGAAGTGGGAGTCAGTTAAGTTGCATTAGTCCTGATGCAATGTGGTCACTTATCTGCATCGGGATTTCTTCAGGGCCTTCAGGTTCCTCCAGTAATGGGGAAACTATTGCAAAGTGACCCTTAGAAGAACTGCCCAAGGAATGAAATCAAATAACTCTGCTCTACTGGAACCACAACAGGAAGGCTTCTATAGCATGCAGTCAAAGTTTATGTAAATACCTGAAATACCAAGTGCTTTTTAAATGCTTTAATAGTCACTTAAGTAAGTCCCAAATAGGTTGTCCTTGATAAAATTCCAGTTTTGTCACTGCCAATTTCAGCATTAGGGTAATTTTTTTTATTGCCTGACTCTTGTTTAAAATAAAATACCTGTCTTCAAATCCTAGGATGAGTAGATTTACACATATGGATAATTTTTTAAAGGATCCTTCAATGGTCATGGAAAGCACATTTCTTTTTAGAGGAGTTTGAGAAGCAAATCTCTGTACGTTATATGTGAAATCTTCCCTCTAGAAACTTTCCTCTCTAGAGGTAACTTGAGAGATAGGCAATGCACAAACCCACAGTGAAGAGAAGAGGAAAGACAGCTCTATATCATATGTGGAGAGAGAGAGTGAGAGGGTTAAAAAAGAGCAAGCAGTTGGAATTATATCATGATACATCATATGATAGAAAGCAGATGACAACTTTTGAGATGCTCCATTTGGAAGATGGAAACAGATCTCCTCTACTCTCACTGAAATGCTGTGGAGAAAGCTGGTAAAGAAACTGTTGAGGAGTGTTACAGCTCAAGAGTGGCCAGTACCTCTCTTGACAGATCTCACATATTAAAAATTCAAAGGAGCATAAAAGTATTCAGACAAAAATTAAATACCCATAACCTTGTATCAAGCACAGAGACACAAGAATGGAGAACATTACTTGCCACTTTTTCTTCTTTCCTCTTTCCCAGGCCATAAGCACCTGTATCATAGTCACAAAGTGGCAGCTGTTTCATCTCCTTTTTTTCTCCCTGAAGAAAACTGACACTTGGAAGAACAAGGAGTAAGCTTATGCCACCTTTACAGTCTGAAGGCAACTGGATGTAACACCATGCAGCAGATAAAACTCTAATCTAGTGTTGGCAATTTTAAAAAATGAGAGGTTTTGCACAATTTGAGCTTTACTTTACTGGGTCTTCCCTCAGAATTTTATTTTTTTCTCAAAAGCAAAGGGAGGTAGTTGTAGCAGAAGCAGAGAGTAGAAGCAGCAGTGGCAGACTAAATACTCTGAACTTCAGCGTCTTCAGGCAGCAGGCAGACAGGATCTCCTGAGAAGCTGTGGATGCCCCATCCCTGGAAGTCTTCAAGGCCAGGTTGGATGGGGCTTCGAGCAATCTCGTTTAGTGGGAGGTGTCCCTGCCCATGGCAGGGGGTTGGAAACAGATGATCTTTAAGGTCCCTTTCAAACCAAATCATTCTGTGACGCTATGATTCATGGGAGGGTGCTCTAAGGGGCAAAGGGCCACAGAGACTGGTCAGTCTTGGAGGCCAGCCTCCTGAAAGCACAAGGACAGTCTACCCTGAACTGCAGGAAAACGGGTGTGCACAGCAGGCAGCCGGACTGGTTGAACAGGAAATTCCTAACTCAGCTCAAATGTGAAAAGGAAGCGTATGGGGCTGGAAGAGTGGATGGGCTGAGCAGTAGAAATGGAAGTTTTGTGGCTCTGAAGGGATGGAGTTGGGTGTTACATGCTGTTGCACATTGCCAGAGAGGCTGTGGAGTCCACAACCTTGAAAATTTAAAAAACTTGAATGCATAAGACCCTAAGCAATCTGACTGTACTTTCCAACCTAAATTACTCAATCCCTCTACATTCTTCACAGAATTAACAGTCATACAGGCCAGCCTAGACCACTTTGCTCAGGGCACTGTCCAGCTGAGTTTTTACTATCCCTACAGAGAGGCTACTTACGATTTCAACTTAGCCATATTAATTGAACCTAATTTAAACTTAATCCTTCCTGGTTCATTTCTGGCAGCCTTTCTTTTCAATTTGTGTGAAATGTATGTACCAGTACATGGGTTTCTTTCTTGGAGGGAGTGTCAGTTTTCAAATCAGGATCTGCATTGTCATGAGGATTTTAAAGATGGAATCAATTAACAGCCTGATTTAATGTAGAATAAATTTTTTTTCAAATTAAATACAGACTGGAGGCTATCTTTTAGTTGTTCTTTCCTATGTGTATAGGCAGTTTGTAAAAGTATAATGTGATATTTTTAAATTAGAGGTATTTCAAGTTACTGTTAAAAATGGTCTCATTTTGAATATTGACTGTTATAAAAAATGAGATTTACAAATATTTTCTGATACCCAGTCACATCAGAGGTACAAAAATGCTGTGTGTTGTTAGCATGATGAAAAATAAATTATATGAGAATAGCATAGATTTTCTACAACATTCACTGCAGTTTTTATTCAACATTTTATATAAATTGATCTAAACATACTTACAGTAAGGAAGTGAACTAGATGAGTTCTTGATGGCACTTCCTATAAAATATTTCTGTGATTTCTTTGTCAGGAAATTATTACAGATCTGAGCCCAGGGTTGAGAAGTCTTTCTGCCTAAGCCTATGCCTACTGAAATGCACTGAGGTCTCTTCAGTTAGATCATTGTATTTAGCTGAAAGAGATCCAAAAAAGAAGGCTTAGGTGCAGAAATAAAGGTTTACATGCTCTGGTAGCGCAGCTGTGTTGGTTCTGATGACAATGTTCTGGGTTGTTATTTCCTCCTCTTTTATTTTAAGCACCCTTGCAGTAGCATGGCAAGGGTGTTCATACGTTTAAGAAGGATCTCTCTTTTTCAACTTACCTTTGTATCTCAAAAGGATACAAAAGTAAAATAGATGGGATCAGATGTTAGCACATAACCTCACTGTTTGAATTTAATAAATACTGCAAATTGCAGTCTTGCTTAAAGAAAGGAGCAAAAATTGAATAAAGGGTTTGGGATTCAGCTGCAAAAAATAACCGTAAGTATCCACACGTTTTTAAAAGCTTGAATTCCAGCGTTACGAGAGTGTGAATGTTGTCGGGGACTGGATATAGTATTATTCTAGTGCTAAGTCTATTTTCTGCTTTTTGAAAAAGAATTTTCCACTAAGATTATGACTGCCAGATTTCCTACACCACTTGCTACCCTCAAATATTTTGGAGGCTCCCATCATCTTAATACAAGCTGTAAAAGAGATGATTTGGCCCTGGGACCACAGACGTGCCAGTTCCTGTGACACTTCAGACACCTGGTAGTCTAAAGAGTACAATTTGAAAACACTTATGTGAGCAAATAACTGTGCTCTCCACTTACTAAATTAATTTAACGAGCCACACTGTAAAATTATACTGCAAGCCATTCATGATCCTTGAGATGAAACATGTTACTCTTCAAATAATGCTGTACGGTGAAATATTTACACCTTGAAAGGAGAAAAAAAAAAGACAGAAATATCTTAATTTAACTGATCTCTCATATTTTTAACATATTGGCCTCATACAACTGATGATTGGGTAAATAGGCATTCAGGCACATGCCTTTTAGACAAAAAATCTTAAAGTCTCATTTTCTTAATTTGAAGTGGGTGCTGGATAAAATGCATGAGGAAAGTCAGATTTTTCTGCCAACTACAGCATAGTGGAAATCTTCTTGCATAATGAAGTGTTAACTAAGTCATGCTTTTGGAGAATGATTTAAAGTGTGATTCCAGCACCAAGAGACTGTAAAAAAAAAGCAGGGCTCCATGGTGTCTCAGTAATTTCAGCATAAGATATGCTGAGTTTGCAAGGAAAAAAGGTGGGAATGTTTGGTTTGGGATTTTTTCCCCTTCCTAATTTCCAGTTCCCCAAACTCCTCCTTTGGGCTTTTTATATCTCATGCATCATTAGATGGAATAAATTATCATCAGACTAAATTGCATAATTAACTATGGCTGAGTTGGCATTAAAGGGGGAGAGATTTTAACCTGCACCATAGGCAAATTTGGTGGGAAATAACTGACAAAGCAAATGGTCAGTCACCTCACTGGGGCTCTTCTACAAAATAATCTTTTATAGAAGAATCAGAGCTTTCAGAAAAGCATAATGAGCTAAAACAAGCTTGTATAAAAATAAGCATGATATCCCAGTTTAAGGAAAACTCAGTACCAGTTTTATGGATAAATTTTAGATTGTTCTATCAAATATCAGGAAAAAAACCAGAGAACTGAGAAACAGAGAGATAAATAAAATTTTGGTATTCAATCATTTGCTTAAGAAAATAAAAAAGAAAAAGGTAGCTAGAATACATAGAAATGCCCTAAAACAGGTAAATCTGAATAATCCACTGAAGTATCATCTAAAAAAGCAGAGGATTACGGAGCACAGGCACGATCTGTCCCTGTATCCTGTTTAATTTGCAGAAGTAAAAAATTAAGAGGCAGCATATAACATCTGGTCTCTATTCCCCACAGAGACCAGATTTAATTGTACTTATACTAAGAGACCATTATTTTTATCTAAACAGCTTTCTGCTCTTTCAAGCACAGTACTCTTAGTACCTTGGCTCTGCCTGTGCACAGTGTCTCCATCCCACCCTCCAAAGCAGCAGCAGAAGGGGATGGGGATTTTGGAGGAGAGGGCAGAAGTGGCCCACTCCCAAGGAAGGGAAGCTCCCTTCCCTTCCCATTCCCCACTGCTAGGGCAGGGGGAGGGCTGCAGGGAAAGGCTGTGACCTCAGCAGGCAGCACAAGAGGTGAGAGGGGCTAGAAATGCAGTGTGCTTGCTCCCTGTTATTAGGAATGCTGGGAAGTGATCCATGCTAGCAGTAGTTTTTTCTTCATAATTTATGTGTTATGCCATAATGTTTTGCTACAGTGGGATTCAAACTATTCGAAGTATTTTTAATTAACGAGGACCCATAAAGGAAGAAAGCTATATCCGTACAAGAAAATAGGACAACAGGGAGCCAGCCAGAATTCTAAGGAAAATATTGTCAATGAGGCATACGGCTGACTGAGTCTTGACTTACACTGTGGTGTAAATATTTAGGGCGAGCTAAATAATGTAAATTTGAAACAAAATCAAAAGCAGAACGTTAAATAGGCTGTAATAGTGCTATGGAAAAGCATATACTCACCAAGAATGGACACTGCCTGGCAAAGCACTTGGACCATGCTTTTTTTCTGCCTGAATAACACATGAACTCTTGACTCCAGATGAAATTTAGGTTTGACTAATGTATTCCTTAATAGCTGCTTGTTGTCGGCAAAAGTAAAGAGTTATAGATAACAAAATTAAATATTTTTTTTCCCCTAAATTAGAGGCTTTTAGGTATAAAGCTAACTGAAGTGAATTTGCCATGGAAGCAGGCCACCAGGATCTAGCTCGCTCTGCAGAGGTGCAGAGTTGGCTTTGCTTTTTTGCTGTGCAAGTTATTTCTGTAGATTTACCCCGACTGTAAGATTCACTAAACTGGAAGTGTAAAAACAGTTGTAGGAGTTATCTGAGAAGGAGAGAGGAGAATTTAAAACAAAGAGCTTGTGTTTTACTTTACTTGTAAGGTAAAAGTAAAGGGAAATTTGGGGATAATGTGTATTATGTATGCTTTATGACAGCTAAAATGAAAGGGAAGATTGCTTTTTTTTACATCTGCAAGGAATAATTTTCTTGGTACAGATATTAAGTGAAATGCTGATAATTCCTTCCTCAAATGTGGAGTACATAAATAAGTTATACAAGAATACTGATTTTGTTGTGCAGTATATTCATAAATATTAGATAAAAAAAGAATCTCAGTTACAGAAAGCAACAAAAGCTAGTGCAGTCTCTTGAGTTTTCCTTTTATTAAAATAAATTAGTAGTCTTGCCTGGATTCTTAAAAATAATTTCTACCCAGAAGTTAAACATATTTAAATAAATTGACTGGATAGATCTTCCAAAGAAAGAAAGGCCCAACACTACTGCCAGATTTATGAAGAAAGTTTCTTGGTTTTATCTGGTGGATCAAAAAGTATATGTTAAATAAAACATGGTTTCTGTTGATTACTTGATAATAGTTTGGATGGTCTGCGTATAAAATAAAATTGCAGGTTTCTCTAAAAGAGTCTGGTTTTGCACAAACTGCTAGTTTTCACTGCTGGTCTTTAAAAAAAAAAAAATAGTACCAGAAGGTTACATTTCTTAGGAACACTTAAAAATATCTTTGACACATGTAGCAATAAGAAAGTGTTATTCAAAGCTTGACCATTTAAATAGAACTAATAGAAATCCATTTTGTTTAGACTGGAAACCTGAAAGGATGAAACTGAACAAGACTCTCTTTTCCCCCATTTTTCTAAAAACAAACAGTCATACCCTGAAGTGTTGACTGAGCTGTTCACTCTCAGCTCTCCGTGACTTTAAAGGTGACCTTCTCTCTGTCTGCATTGTGTTATAGGGGTAATGACTGCTCCTTCCTTGTAACCTGTGTAAAGATCCTTGGGACTGAACTGATTTGATTTAGGGAAGCTGAGATCAGGAAAGTTTCTGGTACTTCCACCGTCCTTATCTTACATAATGATTACTAGAAAAAGACACTACAGAACCCCTTCACATTGAGGAAACTGATGGCAAAGGCCAGTAATTTTGGGTGCTAGAGACAAAATTTCAAAGCAGTTAACCAGTTTCATGGCAAATGGACAAAGCTAGAGGAGAAGACAGGAGATGTTGCTTCCTCTATGTTTCCAAAGATTTACAGAGAGCTACATAACTCATCCTGGCTTCTGAATTACGAAACCACAATTATTCTTAGGTGGGGGTTACAACCCCTTATAAGGAGACAAATAGTTTCTTTTCCCACAAAGCCTTTCTTCTAGAAATAGAGATGCTAGACTTAGTAATTGAAGCAAGAAACTTCACACGTATCTTTCAAACTCAGGAGAACGTATAACCAGTTCTGACCACAGGAACTTATTTTGTCTGACATGGTGGAAATAAAAACCACATTGCACAGCTTACCTTCAGTTCTTCTGCCTCCCTCCAGTCACCAGGCATCTCCCTCATGGGCTGGTCTGATGGGCTAGTGGACAGGAATAGCTCTGTTTCTTACAGTATTTGAGGAAGCCACTTTGTTTAGAGTGGTAGCAAAGTTTAAAGGTCCTTCCCCTTTACTCCACGCTGGTGATGCCACATCTGGAGAGCTGTGGCTCAGCTTTGACCAGTGGCAGATCTTTTCTACATCCTGCTGGAACTGGTTCTGTCTGCCACAGGGACAGTTCCTGCTGTCTTCACAGAAGCCACCCCTGCACCTCTGCTGCTACCAAAACCTGGACACATGAACCCAATACAGAAAAAAAGAATATAAAAAGTGAGAGGGTACAAGAAACATAGTGAGAATTTAAAAATAGGTTGAACTGCTCAGAGGGAGACATTGCAAGAAAATTTTAAAAGGGACAAGAGACAAAATATAGCAGGAGGAATTCATCAATGATCTGGATGAGGGGATTGAGTGCACCCTCAGTCAATTTGCAGGTGACACCAAGTAGGGTGGGAATGTTGATCTGGAGGGCAGGAAGGCTCTGCAGAGGGATCTGGACAGGCTGGATCAATGGGTCAAGGCCAATGGTATGAGGTTTAACAAGGTGAAGTGCTGAGTCCTGCACTTGGATCGCAAAAGTCCCATGCAGTGCTACAGGCAGGGGACAGAGGGGTGGAAAGCTGCTTGTCAGAAAAGGACATGCAGGTGCTGGTTGGCAGCAGCTGAAGAACATGAGCCAGCAGTGTGCCCAGATGGTCAAGAAGGCCAATGGCATCCTGGCCTGGATCAGGAAGGATACAACTAGTGTGGCCAGCAGGACTAGGGAAGTGACTGTCCCCCTGCACTCAGCACTGGTGAAGCCACACCTCAAGTGCTTTGTCCAGTTCTGGGCCCCTCAATAAAAGAAAGGCATTGAGGTGCTGGAACAAGTTCAGAGAAGGGCAGCGGAGCTGGCAAAGGGTCTGGAGCACAGGTTTTATGAGGAGGGGCTGAGGGAGCTGGGGGTGTTTAGTCTGGAGAAAAGGAGGCTCAAGGGAGACCTTTTCACTCTCTACAACCACCTGGAAGGAGGCTGTAGCGAAGTGAGGGTCAGTCTCTTCTGCCAGGTAATAAACGGCAGGACAAGAACTCCAGCACGCGCGCGGGGAGCGGGCACAGGACAAGGACAACGCCGCAGTGCCGCCTTTCTGCCACCGGGCGGCGGCAGCGAGGGCGGGACGGGCGCTGCAGGGCCGCGTTCGGGCCACCGGGCGGCGGCGGCGGCAGCTCCGCGCTCCCGCTCGGATCCCGGTCCTCAGCAGCCCTTGGATCGCCCTGCGCGCGCCGCACTCGGAGAAGCGAGAACTAAATCTCAGCTGGCGCTGTTTCATCACCCTCCCGGGGCGGGAGAAACTCCCAAGATAGGAGGGGAAAAGAATGAAGTGCGGTCACATGGCTCAAGTACGCTGCACGTAGCTTTGGTGAACATTAAGGGAAATAAATACAAATACATACAGCCTGGTCTCAGAGGAGGAAGGATGCTGCTTTTTGTCCCATGTTAACAAGCTACTGAGAAAGCTTGCTCTGCCGTGCCAGGGAGACCCTACAGAAAAGCAAGTCTCAGCTATTTCATTCCTCCAGCAAGGCAGACTAGTGTCACAGCGTGGAAGGCAATTCTTACATGGTAATTACTCTGGGATATTTAAATCAACTTACTATTACCATCTTAGTCATTTTCCCATCTAAGGAGTTGAAAAATTCCATTTCTGCCAGAGTATCATCGACTTTATAAACTGCTGCATGCTACAGACGTTTCTTCATTGTTACTTTACTCACTGGGGAGTTTTGTTTTCCACCTTTCTCCCATAAAGTGGACAGCAGGAGATGAGCCATACAAGCAACTTTTTTTGGCTTACTGCAGCTTTCTCTTGTCTTTGTGAGCCAGCTGTGTGGGTGTGCAGATGCTACACATGCCTTCCTAGACCAGAAAGCCTGCACCCAGAGGTCTTTGTGCAGCAGCTGTGACCTTCAAGGAGTTTCTTTGCAGGTGATGCAGCATCTTGCACTCATCTGTCCTTAGACTGCCACTTGCTAGTACTGGGATCTGTGCTTCTAGGTCAAACATACATCTCTGGGGATTTGCATGGTATTCCAGCCTCCCTGTGTCTCTGAGGATGGCTTTGGGTCTGCAGTCCAGGAAATATTTTCAATGTTTTCCCCATGCACAGGTGGAGACCCAACACAAAGGTTCTGCTGCGGCAGAGTTGGCTCAGCGTGGGATATCCGGGGAACCCAGATACCTGAGCTGCTCCTGCCTGTGGGCAGCACTACTCCTTCCTGCAGGAACCACCCTGTGGGCTTCCCTCAGAGACCAAACTGAAGCTGGGAATTCAAAAATGGGTTTTCCAGTCATTGGCTCCTGTGGCACCGTACAGCCGATCCCTAAGAGAGCTGCCAATGGGGGGAACCACAGCCCCGGCCGGACACAGGACACAACAGCAAAGACACACCTGTCACCATGGGTGACCTGTCATCATGGGCTGCAGAGCTCAGCAGGACTTGGCTGGTAGTCGTGCTTTGGGCTCTTTATCTTCCTGGAGCTGGCATTCATGGAGTCTTTTCAATAAAAGGGAAATACTTTCTAATACGAATCAGTGCAATGGGAATTGCAATGAGACTTATTTGACTGACCTGAGGGTCATGTTTCGTGATGTATTTCTGTACCAGAGTCTGAGGTTATATTTAATGTGTCCTTTGGGTGCTCGCTGGGAATGAGGAAGGCAGATGAACAGACACATGTCTTAGAAGAACTGCCGAGTTCAGAGCTGGTCCTGATGACTAGCAGCAAGACACAAAAGTAATTTAGTCAGTGGGTAAAGCATTTACAAACATGTTGCATTTCCAACAGAGGAGGTGTTGGCTGCCCTATACAGACAAGGCCACAAGGGAGGATAGCTCTGTGGGAAGCCAGATTGTTGCCCATGTAATGATTCAGGGAAAGGGCATTAGAATAACTTTGAAGTCCACCTGCCACCTCAACCCCAGCTTTTTCTGTTGCCCAAAATGTGTATGAGTTGTAAATACTCAGATACCCCTCAGTCTGGCCTTTGGGTGATTTTTGCTTTCTTCCTCATTAAGGCACTTTTGTCTTCAGTATTCCCATCGAACACTTCCCATAAACTGACAAGCTGGTGTTGTCCAGTGGGTGGCTGTAGCACTGCTTTGCCCTCAGATTGCAGACAAACCTGGCTGTCTCATTTTGGTGAAGTATCAATGACTGGACCAACCTTCAGACTAGCCAGAACACTTGCTGAACAGTCTCAATGCACGACTGTGGTCCTGTGTTTGTAATTCTGCACCTGTATCATGGTTTAACCCCAATCAGCAAGCAACTCAGCCCCACTCCCTCCCTCCCTCCCTTTCCCTGGTAAGATGGGGAGAGAATCAGAGGGGTAAAAGTGAGAAATCTCATGGATTAAGATAAAGAGTGTTTAATAGGTAAAGCAAAAGCTCCACACACCAGCAAAATGAAACAAGGAATTCACTTCTTCCCATGGCCAGGCAGGTGCTCAGCCATCTCCAGGAGAGCAGGGCCCCATCACATGTAACAGTGACTTGGGAAGACAAATGCTCATCACTCTGAATGTCCCTCCCTTCCTCCTTTTCCCCTCAGTTTTATATGCTGAGCACAACAACATATGTGTGGGATATCCCTTTGGTCAGCTGGGGTCAGCTGTCCTGGTTGTGTCCCCTCCCAACTCCTTGTGCACTCCCAGCCCACTCACTGCTGGGTTGGGGTGAGGAGCAGAAAAGGCCTTGGCTCTGTGTAAGCACTGCTTAGCAGTAACTAAAACATCCCTGGGTTATCAACACTGTTTCCAGCACAAACCAGCTACTGTGAAGAAAATTAACTCTACCCCAGCCAAAACCAGCACAGTCTGATCCTATGAAAGGCCCTAGTTCTCCAGAAGAAGGTACAAGGAGGTCCCCTAACAGCAACATCCTAACCAGACCTTTTCCTTTAGCACCCAAGAGAGACATGATGTGAGAATCAAAAGGCAACATCTTTATCCATCGAGGCTGAAAGTAAAACCAAATGGGTAAGTCACCTGCAAATTCCATGGCAATCTAGTCATTCCAGACAAACACCTGCACAGCATGACAGACAGGTTTTCTTGGTGCCAGGCAATTAAATTTTTATCAAGGTGTAAATCAAAACACCAGCTTACAAATTACCATCATAAAACATCGCTGGAGGTTATGTTTCCCTGTTTCTTTTCTACAGCTTATTAACTCTATCTTTCTGGAATATGCTGGTTTAGATTTGTCACAGAGTAAAGCAGAAATGGATGAGTCTTAAAATATTGGAAATAACATTGTGAACATTTGTTAAAGCTGCTTGTGCCTTCATTCATTGGATATTATACTCACTTGAATCCATTTTGTGTTATTATGTAGATGCATGCACAGACATAAAGCTACCAGATGAGTTACAGCTACTTGCTGTGTTTGCCTTCAAAGAAGCTGATGGTCTGTCCTGTCAGCTGGATTGTCCACCTGTAACTGCTACGCCCCTCCCTGATTTATACATGTTGGGAAAGTGCCCAAGAAGGAGCTGGGCCATCTGCCAGTTTGCTGACTTCTTACTGTCATAGACTGAGCTCTGTGAAATTAGACTTTGCTGCACTACAGAATTAAGTGTATTATCTTGCCCTTTGAGACAAACAAATTAAATTTGCTGCTGCTGGTGTATGCTATGTTATACTGGGTACTCTGCCTTTTCTTTGTTCCAGCCTTACAGCATCAAAACATTCATTGAAGGACAGTGGTAACATACTGTCCACATTAAGAGACATTTTATCATGCAGATCTATCTCCTTCATGTTTTTTCTAGTCAGATGTTTCTGAAATTTCAGTAAGAAATAAGGAAAATATTTTGCATGGCTTTGTCAAATATTTTGAATGTAGTTTGGGCAAAGGTCAAGTGTTCCTATGTGGTCAACAAGTGATAAGCAACATTTAATAACATGCCATTTAAAATGTGTTAGTTAAAAGAAATCTAAAAGTGCTGCTTTTCCAGTGGTTCATGCAGTAATATGCTGAATTCAGAAATAGGTACATTGTGACTGCTGTGGTAAGAAGAGGCCTCAGTGTTGAAGCAAAGGAAAAAGGGATGAGGTGCCTGTGGAGAAAAGGAGGTACAAATCTTGCAGAAACAGCAAGCGACTCAACTCACCTTGCATAGGGTATTAATGCTGACCCTCACTGCTGGTCTTCTGGTCTTGGCTTCCCTGAAATTAAGACCAGGGATCCGTGTCTCCTGTGTGCCAGGAATATTGGTTATCAGCCCCTTCAGAGATGTCTTGTGGAACAGCTGGGTCTCCTTCCCAGCTGCCCAGAGCCTGCTTATGGATGCTGCAGCATGTGGAAAGGATCTTCCACTCCGGCTCTGCATTTTCAGCCCAGACGTAAAGCAGCACATTGGAAAAGATGCACTCCAGCATCTCATTTGCTGTTCACACTGTGATTTAGGATTAACAGCTGTTAGGACAGAAGAAGAATATGTACAGGGTTTTGTTTGTTGCAAGGGCGTTTAAAAACAGACCTTGTAAATCCTCAAAGAAGTCAGCAGGGTGCAACTGCATCGCACTGTGCTCTGCGTAAGACGGAACTCTGGCCAGCCATAGTTAGAGCATGATGATCACAGGGAATGGGGCCAGAGAAGGGGGAGATTTAATAGAAGTTAAATGTACTTTCATGGAACATTTTGGCTGGTTCTGTGTTGCAGTAAAAGCTTTACTGGTGTCAATAAGAAAATTCCCATTTATTTTATTGCTATGAGACAATCCTCCCTCCTTGGCCTCCACTAAAAAAGAAAAAAAGTAGGTTCTGGAAAAAAACACTGAATGTCATTAATTCCAATTCTGGAAGTAGATTGTTGAAAAAGCATCATGGCTTGTGAATGCAAACACTATATAAAAGCACACGTTGGAATAAAGAAAGAGCAGAGTGCCCACTATAACATATACTTACAGTTGAGCAAGATACATGGAATGTGCCTGACAGCACCATGTTTTGCTAAGGAATGGTTGCACTTCCCTATGTCCTGCACCTCTCCAAGATCTTATCTGAGTGTGGTCTGACTCATTCATGCATTTTCCTATTTGTGGCACCGTGCATAAAACATGGTTTTGTTTATTTCAATACATTGGACCATATATGGGCCATATTGGGAAAACGGTCATTTCGCAGTGGTGTGGAAAAAGATGAGATCCTAAATACAGGCTGGGGGCAACCTGAAACCCCAAATGGGAGAGAGAACATAATCATGCACAGATACAACTGTGCAAAATGAAAACAAACTGTGCCTGAAACGCAAAGACCAATGGGCTGAGCAGCTCACAAGTGTCTCCAGGAGCAGAGATCCAAGGCATGTGGAGTTAGGACCTGCGGGAATCTGTGAGGGAACACTTCTGTTTGTTTGCTAAGGTTTTCCCAACTGATGGAATAACCTCTGGTGTTTCAGTATTCATTCAGGACTACACCTGGGCCAGGCTTGCCCAGAATACAATAGGTGACAGACTGAATCAAGATGTGTTTACCTCCTCAAAAGTCAAGATGAGGATTCTCAGAAGTTCCCATATGCTTTGTGTCAGGCCCTGCCCTGCAAGTTCATAGGCTCACTTGTAAACACAGGATTTCGTGAAATCATCCACATTACAAAATGATGCTACAGGATTTCATTTTGCATGTGGGCCTTGTGCTTTTTGGTTTTTTACAAACGTGTAATTTAATTTGAATATTGCCTCAGTTTTTGTCTTACAGAAGGGGCATGGGTTTATAACACTGAATACCTATTATCCTATTCTTGCTATTTGCTCTTAGGATGAAGCAGTAACCCTTCCTATAATAGCAGGCAGTGGTTGGATTAACAAGTAAGCAAAGATGAGTACAGCATCAACAGGAAATAGAAACTGCACAATAATGCCAAAGGCTGGGTCACATGAGCTGACTTCTGTATGATTTCTACCTTGAGAAATTTCTGCTGATTTCTGCCTTCAAAACCACAAATGCAAAGTAGCAACTACTTTCAAAGAACACTCTTTTCCTGTGTCAGTTCTAGAAAAGCCTTTCTCATGAGAGTTAGAGAAAGAAAAACACGGCCAAACAAGAAGCTATTCCTACAGAGCAGGCTTACCTAAAGAAATACAGGTATCAGAATCTCTTGAAGGATGCTGTCACAACAGTCCAGCTCTGAAGGTCAACAGGGATTGGCTATTTCAGACCAACAATGCAGTGACTGTCAGAGACCCGGGCACTGGCAGCCCCTCTTCTTCCCTCTTGAATACTCACTCCAATTTTTAGCTCAGGCACAGAAGACAGAAAAGCTGCCTGTCCCTCAAAGCAATATCCTGATTAATTAATTCAGGAGTCTGTCGGTAAGACTTGTCATTTCCCACCACACTCAGAAACCCAGACCTCGTAGGTGTAAGGGTAGAACAAAAGAACTCACCCTACTCAGCGCTGAACATGCTGAGGGTACAGCACTAGGTCTGCCTCCATGACTCTCAACAGTTTCTGAGAGAAGTCTCACATAAAGGCTTTGCAGCAAGGTAGCAAAGGCACACAGTGGAGAGGCATCAGGAGAAAATTATTCTCATTCCTTTTTACTCTATGGCAGCAGAAACCATCTCTAAACTTCCAGCCAGAAACAATCATAAGTTTGCCCCCAGAGACCCCAGCACTGCTGAGGCATCTGATCAGGCTCTCACAGGGCTGGAGACAAACATCAGGCAAATGCCCTCCATTAGGATCACTGTTAAACACATTTGCCATGAGCAGCACTTTTCTTCTTTAAGATTCTTAGGTCAGTTCTGCTAAAGCTGCCTTAAATCCCAGACGTTCATAGCAAATAGGGATGGCAATCCAAGTCAGAATACATAACTAAACCCTTGGAGGAGAGCAGATGATGGTGCTTCTTTATATTAATGACACCTCTCAGATTCTCCACCATTAATGGCTTTACATTCCTATTGATCGTAAATACGGAATATGGGATTGAAAGATAAATTATGCGATGCCCCAGACACTTGAAATATAAGACCAAAAAAAAAAAAGAATATGGGCTTTGCTCAGTTAAGAGCTGTGCTTGATACCTCTTTTAAAAAGGAATCACAAGTCACTAGCATTTTCCTGGGGTGTGGGAATGGAGAGTAGATGAATAAGAAATAAAGCCCTCCATTCCCCGGGGCTGCTGGATGAGAGAGCAGTCAATAGTGAGCACACTCAGCTTCTCCACCCCTCAGGACACCTATAGGAGATCACCACCAAGAGGTGGTGTCCTTGCCTGTCTAGAGAAAAGTCTGGCAGGCAGAGAGAGCTTCCCTCTGTGCTCCAGGGCTGTTGGACAGCAAGGAACTGTGCATGACCCAGCAGCATTTTAAACTAGCGCCTTTAATATTGCAAAGCTGATCCGAATCCAGCAGGATACTTATTAGCATGCGTTGATCTCTAAAGAAGAGTGGTTGCTAAGGAAACCACTTAAAAGCCTGCTTTAAAATATTTGCTACATATTCAAAAGCCAGAACAATTTCCTGCTGTCAAATTACAACAGCCCTTCAAAGATCATTAGGAATATTCTTTAATCATTAAGACAGAAATATCCACGTGGTTCTTCTCAGCAGACAGATGACGAAATTCTGATATGGGGTATTATCTTTGTAAAACTGAAGTTATGTCACTGAAACAAAATCAGCTGTGCTACAGCACAGCCATTCCAAGGATCAGATTTTTCAACTACATATTCCTAATACAAAGTTATCATGTCTGACATCCTAATATTTTGAAGTATCACAACTTCTAACTTATACTTCCCTAAAGAGTCATAGAATCATTTAGGCTGAAAAAGTTCAAGGACAAATTCGATTTGCACAGCTAACATGCTGTAAGTGGAGAATGCCAAAGGCACAACATGAAGGGCTAGGAACATCATGTTCTAACTCACTTTTCCTGGCATTTAAGGGGACATATTCTTCACTAGAGGCAAAAAAAGCTCAGCAAAAACTTTTTTTTCTGTTTCCAAATAAACTGATCAATACTCAAAAGCCATTTAAAGTGTCAGGATAAACAATTCAATCATATTCTTTTACTTTCAGAAAACACAATGTATTTTAATGGTATGTTAGTTAACTTCCCTCGCAGCAGCCCTCATAGTGCTGTGCTTTTTATTTGTAGCTGGAGTGGTGTTTAAAACACAACAGTGTTTTGGCTGCTGCTGAGCAGTGCTGGCACTGCTCGCTGAGGAGGGCGAGTGACAGAGTGGCTTTGTGGGTGAGGTCAACCCAGCCAAGGTCAACCCACCACTCCTGAGATCATCAAGGACAGAAACCTGACTTTGGTTTTAATGACAACAGCCAATCCTCTAGGCATGCTCTTGGTCTGATCTTCCCAGAAAATATACAGTGTTTAGGTATAGGAGTTTATTTTCCGTCTTCACCAGGACAAAAACAAGCCATGTCCTCCGAGGAATCCTCTGGGAACAGATGTACTTTTGCCTCCCGTCTTTCCTAGGAATCAGAACTGGTTTAGAGCCAGCAGTTTGTTCTGGGTACTCCTGTGATTGTGCTCAAGTTACACCATCATCCTTTTGTTTCAGAACGTCCTCTGTCTGTGTGTAAGTCATGAGTCCCAAATGAAACAGAATCTTATTGAGTAAGATAACCAGAGGAAAAAAGATTACCATGTCCTCAAGTCTAAGCACAGAAGAGATGTCACATCACCTGTAAAAGTACTGAGCATGAGTTAGAGAATTAGGCATTGCACATCATTTGAACAGTGCCAAAACCAATAGGGTTTTGCTTTTCTATTTCTTGTTTCTAATCAGAACACCTACCAGCTTGCTTAGTCATGTTTCAATGTTAACACTATGATTATTTATGCAAGGACAGTACCCAGCAAGAGTGCCAAAAAGCACATTTCCCAGGAAGAAGAAAGCTGCTTTTCACGCACACCCTGAGGACTGTGTGCAGTGTCTGTCAGCAAGGAGAAGCATGGCTGCTCCACCAAAGCTGGGATAAGGGTGACAGAGAAGCAGACAGGGACCTCACTGATAGCTCCGTGGCACCTGAGCAGGGAGAGCCAGGCCAGCTGGTGACAGCAACAGGTAGAGCCTGCAGAGTTTCTCAGCACACAACAGCATCCATGCACACCTTTCCCACAGTAGCTCACCTGACTTTGTAGGGCTGCCTCTGAAAAGTGCTGTGAGAAATCGCAGCTGCTGCCGGTTTTTTGAAAGTCAGTGTTAAGACAGTAGCTACTTCCCTTCACCACAGCCACAGGATGTTTTCTGGTCTCTTCTGATCTGCTAGAGAGATAATTATCTAGAAATGTGCCATAAGGCAAAATTCTTCACTTATGAAGACAGAAAGTTGCAAAAGTTCTCCCACTTGTAATGTCAGGCATTGCAGAGCACATGCTGATAAGAAGAGCACAGTGCTCAGACCCAGTTTGCTCTGCATTTATAGCTTGATCTGAGATCTAATACATGGAGATTAAAATGGACATTTGTTTTCCACCCACCCAAGAATCCCAGCTGCTGTGTGTTCAGTTACAATGCTGGGCAGGACAGCTTGCTAGCACATGGGCAAACGACCTGCCCCGACCCACAGTAGTTTGGTTTGTTTTCCAGTCACTCGAGCTAGTTGATTAAGGTTTTAGAATCTGATGATGGAAGCACACAGGAAAGAAGGATGAGCGAAAAAGGGAAGAGAGGTATCAGGAGAGAAATAATCACAGAAAAATATGTGCAAATCATGAAGGGAAAGGAGAACAAAATAAAGTAGAATAGGTGTCAGGGGAGAGAAAGGTCAGGAACATGACAAAGAAGCAAAACAAGAGGCAGGAAGACAGAAAAGAACACTGGAGATAATCTTTCAGGAGCAGAAATTCCTTATGAGGAGAGCTGGAATCTAGAAAACTTAACTCATCCTTTAGGAAAAAAAAAAAAAACAAGGAGAAAGTCCAAATTAACTGTTTGCAGTCAAAAACAAATGTTGCACAGTACAAGTTCCTGCCCTTCTGGTTTCTGATTTTTTTTGCCTCCTGTCCTCTGAGTGCTGCTAGAGGCCCCCCAAAGTACCAAGTGCTGCACCACAGCCCATCCCCTTGCCCTATGCCCCAACCTGTTCCTGTGCATATTCTTGCTGTTGTGCCCTGCCCTTGTCTTCAAGCCTGCTGCCTTCTCACAAAGCTATTCTTCCGCTCACTGCCTCCTTTCTCCAGCCACCTCAAATGCCATGCTGCTGCCACTTCAGCTGCCTTCCACTTGCCTTCTAAAACCCTGTAAATATAAGGGTAGTTCCACTGCACATAAAGGCTCAGCATGAACATTTGTAATTTCCATGCTGGCCTTTCACTGCAAACTATATGGGGCAGAAACTGTCTCCCAGCACTTGTGCCTCCATATCATATATGACCCTGACACTTCTTGGAAGCCCCTGCTGATGCCACTCTGTAAATACCAATACCTGTTTTACAGGTAATGTGCTGGGTTTGTTCTTAATAATCACTGTGCTAGTCTGGATACACTTCTGCTTGGGTCATTTCTGCTCAGGAGATCTGCTGCTCTTTGTCCAATGCCAGGAGAGTTGGTTTCCATGGAGCACTGTTTTTCCGCCGTCTCACCAGAGAAAAATGGGAACCAGGGAAAAACAACCTGCAGTGACAGATGACAGTGTTGCCATCCCCAAAAGATTCACAAGGTCAAATTTCATTCTAAATGCTGAGTGAGACATCACACAACTGGAAACCAGAACAATCTGGTAGGTGCTCCCTGCTTACCTAAACTCTTCATCTACAAGTAGACTTGTACAGTGAGAGCTCTGAGGGGTTTTACTGCTGCTTCTCTGGCCAGAAGTTAATGGGTTTTGCAGTCAAGGCACATCGTGCAGTAGGCAATAGGACTGCTTAGCTGTCCCCTGCTGAATACAGAAGGGAGACAGCTGATAACAAGCTTCTTTCAGAACACAGCAAAGGTGACATTGCAGCGGATGCTAATATTAGTGACAGCTTGGACAGGTTAAGGATTGCCACCTAATAACAGCACTCAATACAGATACATAGGTCCAAGTTCTTAAGAATCTGTAGCCATAGTCAAGAAACCAAAGAACTTGGTTTCCTGAAATTTGGTGCCTTTGTGAAGTCCCTAGTTGGGAAAATGAAATTGTCAGTTTGTAAACCTATTTGTCCAGTATCGTGTCTTAAAGGGCTTTTTGCACGGTCATGTTAATCACAAAGAAAAGTTAGAGGAGATAATGCTCTTGAAGTAAAAACAAACAAACCAAAACCCTTGCTTCAACAAAACAAAAGCCTTCTTACCTCACCAATATCTGGGATAAACTTGACAGCTCCTTAAGCTCCTATGGAAACTGCACTGGCTCTCTTTTTTCTCTTCAGGTGTCTGTTTTCAAGTACCCTGGTCCCCAGCAGACAGTACAGGGTGGAAGGGACAGTGTGTTTCAAAGGCTTTTGTAATAAGAGCCATCTGATTTGCCAAATTGCGTCAAAGGTCAAAGACTGTGTCAGTAGGAGCACAGCACAAAGTAAATGATCTCTTTATGCTGCCACTTGGACACGGGTCACTTAAGAAGGCAGCAGGGCTTTTCTCGTAGAAGCGGCCACCTCTGAGCGGCGCACGGAAGAGTGTTTTGAATCTATAGATGTATTTTTCCGTAAAGACGTCATCGCTGTTTCCCCAGGCCTCTTGAGCAGCCCAGGGGCAGCAGTTGCAGGCACAGCTCGGCTGTCCCTGCAATGGAGCTTCCACCTGCCGACAGCTAAAGGAGGCCAAAGCCAGGTGAGGGTCGGCCTCTTCTCCCAGGATGAGAGGACACGGTCTTAAGCTGTGCCAGGGGAGGTTTAGGTTGGACTTTAGGAAGAATTTCTTCACAGGAAGGGTGAGGAGACATTGGAATGGGCTGCCCAGGGAGGTGGTGGAGTCACCACCCCCGGAGGTGTTTAGGGAAAGACTGGACGTGGCACTTGGTGCCATGGTCTGGTTGACACGGTGGTGTGAGGTGATAACCTGGACTTGATCTCAGAGGTCTTTTCCAACCTAATTGACTCCGTGATTCTGTGCAATCGGGCGCTGCGCAGGCACACCGCCACCAGCCCGACGCCTCCGCCTCGGCCAAGGCCATTCGCGCCTCCTCCCCCCGCCGCAGCCCCTCTCCCGCCTGAGGCGGAGGCCGGAGCCCCGCTGGAGGGGCGGGGCGGGGGCGGTGGAGGAGGCTCGGCCGCCGGGGCCGCCGCCGCTGGGGCCGATTGGCGGGGCCGGTTGGGCGGGCGGGGCCGGGGCGCAGCCGGCGGCGGCAGCGGGGCAGCGCTCGCAGCCTCGGCCGGGGAGGCGCCGCTCTCGCACCGCTGGGGCGCTGCCGCCGGTGCCCGGGCGCGGGAGGAGGTAAGAGCTGCCGCTCCCCGGGCCGGGCCGGGCCGGCCCCCGGGGCAGCGCCGGGGCTGGCGGTGAGCGAGGGGAGGGCGCCGCGGGGAGCTGGGCGGGATCCGCGGCGCGGAAGCCTCTCCCTGCGGCTGCTGGGCGGGAAGGGCCGGGGCAGGGCCGCCGCTGTTCCCCCGGGGCTGGCACGGCACGGAGAGGGGCTGGGAATGGCAGGGAGCGGGGCTGGGAATGGCAGGGAGCGGGGCTGGGAATGGCAGGGAGCGGGGCTGGGAATGGCAGGGAGCGGGGGCTTGAACGGCGCTGCCCGACGAGCCGCGCAGCTTTTGTCACGATGCACAGAATAAACCCGGTTCTGTGATTAGTAAACTAGTCATTCGTGATTAGTGTATTGCAGCGGAGTCGTCTTTAAATTGGTGCTGTACGTGTGCAGTTCGCTGTCGAGGCAGGGGGGGCGAGATTAGGTTGTCACCGATTTAAAAAAAAAAAACAACAAGCCAACCCTCTGTTTTAAGTCGAGCTTAACATAACAGTTAACGTACCCTTCGGTCCTGCCGGCATCTGTGGGGCTTGGAAGGCACGCGAGGCAAGTGCACTTGGAGTTGTACATTCCTTTTCACATACGTCGGATCCCCCGGGGCAGCAGGCATGCCTTCGCTTTCTTCCGGGCTTCCCTTTTTTCCCCCCCTTTGCTTCTGGCAGCCTGGAAAATTTCCATCTGCGGAGCAGCAGCCAGCCTGTAAAAAGGGGCACCACGCATGTCGAACTACAGTTTTAATCGCTCACTGCCTTAGGCTATCTATTTCCCTTCCTGCCTGCAGGAACTGTTTCTCTGAGTTAAATGCGTGCAGGTGAACAAGATCAGATGGAGAGCCTCAAAGCAGATTTCCATCTAGAACTGTCCATCTTGCACTTTGGCTTTAGCAGCAGTCCCCCCCTCCCTTTTCAATACCTCAGTTCGTGTTTGCAGACATACCAGCTAGCAAAGCACAGACTGTTGTATGTCCAGCTAAAAGCAACACTGTTTACATAACAGAAACTGAAGAGCAGGTTCCTGCTCATGACTTGCAGAGAGGCTTGAAAACCAAAACTGTCGTCAGCATTTATTTTTGGCTGGAATAAGAGGCCTTCTGAGAGTTGAATTTGATAGGGAACAAATGCATTAATTAGCTTGTGAATTTGGACTGATCCTCTGATTCATGCTGTGGATACAGGGGAATCTAAATATAAGTAGCATTTCATGTTCTCTTCTCAAACTGACAGAAGTGAAAACGAGTGTGGGTTTTGTTAATTGGCAGGCTTTCAATTTGCTCGTGCTGCGTTTCACAGAAGGAAGTTAATGTGCTGTTGTTACGATTCAAGGATAACAGGAAAGAAAAAGAAACTGGAGGAAGTAAATCAATTTTTAAATACCTGTAAGAACACTGAAATATTGGTGTGATATTGCCATCACCCTGCAGTAAAATGGAAAATCTTAACATTCCAAGTGGTTCCACATTTAACTGATGCAACAACAGTGATTTCCAGAACATTCAGCCTTTTATCAAGTCAGGAGTTAACTTTTAAGTGCTAAGTAAAGAAACCTTTCCTCTTTCCATGCAGAAATTGCATGAAAGGTAAACCAAGAGCATCTAAAGCAACATGCTTTGAGCTGTGAACAAGTTTAATGAATACCTCCCAAAAGCTGTGTCAGTGCCATTTTCTACTAAAGCAACCACTTCCTAAGTTACCTTTGACAGCATGTTTTTTACAAGCACACGGATTTTATGTAGCTATTTAAAAACACAGTTTAAAAAAATATTTCGGATCTACAGATACACTTGTGACTGGCTTGGGGAAAGTACCAGAGCCAGCCCAGAATTACAATGTCTCTGGGGTACACGTGTTGCTCTTTGCTGCTAGATTATGTCAGACTACTCTGGTGCCTTTTTTTTTTTTTTTTTGCATTCACCGTAAGCCTGGATATTTTTAGTTCCTTTATTATGGCATATAATACCTTTCACTCATAATTTTGCTCTCAGCAAACTTTAAGCAATTAAGTTAGAAATCCCTCACTTAAAATTTTGCATGATTAGTTACAGTGATCTGATGGTCCTGTTCAAATTACTCTGGTGCAACAACATGTAGTTACCACAAACTGCATCCCAGAGTTTCACTGAGTTAGCTATTTCTCTACAAAAGCTCAAATAAGCCAATCTTGAACATTTTTCAGCATACTAGATGAGTCATCATTAGTGAATTTTTGTCTGTGCTGAGCCAAGGCGAATGTTTTAATTTATCTGGACAGCAAAAGAGATCTGAGAAGCCAGTAGAAGATCTTGCTTGCCTCTGTTAGCCAAAGGAATCCATTTCAGGGCTCAGGCCAGACAGAACAGCAAATAGCTACATGGGATTTGTTTGAGGAGGAAGGTTGTGGGCGCAATTATGGATGTCCAAGGATACACTCTTAGTGGTCATTCTTAGCACAAAAAAAATCACAATTAACTTTGCAGGTTTGTGTTGAAAAGTATTGTTCAAGACCTCCATAAACGTGACAGAACTGAATATCCTGTGCAGATGAAAAACCGCTTTAAAATCTAAGCAAATACATTTCTTCCCCCTTTTCCCCGGGGAGCCACAGTGCGGATGTTTGGAAAGCATGTATGATAAGCTCATTTTTCACAACCTTATCTCATATTTTCACGTACTGATATTTTAGTGAAGTCATTATCACTCTCATTTGCTCCATCACAACCACATCTCATATTTTCACATACTCATATTTTAGTAAAGTCATTATCACTCTCATTTGGTCCATCATAACCACCCCAACCACTGAAAATTGGGGATGTCATTTTGCAGGTGGCCAGCAGGAATGCCTTACCTTGTTCTGCCTGCAGCACTCGGGTTAGATGTGGGCTGCTGAGTGTAGGATAGTTTGTCAGTGAGTCACACAGACCGCCCTGGACTTGCTTCCAGGCAGAGCTGCGCTTGGCATGATTAGCAGGCTCTGAGGGTGACGTTGTTTCCTAAATGATGTAACTGAAAATTCCTCTTTCCCTTGCTTCTTGTTTCCTGATCAGTTTCCTCATTGTTCTCCAAGACATTCCAGCAGCTGCAGTATCTTTTGCTCCTGATCTTTTTACCCTGAGAATCTCTGTGAAGACAAGTTATGTCAACAGCTACTTTAATTAATTTGGTACGAAATGGAGGGTGTCAAGTAAGAAGGAGAGCCGTGCTCACATCCCGCCTCTTGCAAGACGAGAAACGCCCAGCGGGCGCCTGCTACGTCTCCAGCTCTGAGCGCCATGCTTCCCGCTTCGATCCGGACGGGAGCGGGCGGCCGACCACATGGGACACCTTTGGCATCTGGGACAATCGCATTGATGAGCCTATTCTCCTCCCACCGAGCATAAAGTATGGGAAGCCCATTCCTAAAGTGAGCCTGACCAACGTGGGCTGCGCGAGCCACATCGGGAAGCGCAAGGAGAATGAAGACCGGTTCGATTATTCTCAGCTGACGGAGGATATCCTGTACTTTGCAGTGTACGATGGACATGGTGGGGCAGCAGCAGCTGACTTCTGTGATAAGTACATGGAAAAATATATTAAGTAAGTGCACATCAAGGGAATGTGTGTCAAATAAATTTCAGCAGAGATTCCTTCCTTAGGACTGAGAGAGAATTGGAGGGTTTTACCTTGTTAATCTTCCTAGATTATGTAGCCACCTGTCCTAACGGGACAGCAGGAGCATCAGGTGGAACAGATGTGCTATGAACTACTTATTCTGCGTGGTGCCTGCCCTATGGAGCAAGCCCACAAAGACAAGAGAAAAACACAATTGTACTCACCATCCAGGAAATGACTGGGAACACAGGGAGAGTGTGAATTGACTGTTTTCACATGAGGTCACTGTGATTGCTGACCTGCAGTTTGCTTACACTCTTTTCTCTCTATCCCATCCTTGGATGTTGGAAGAGGAACTTACATATTTGCAGAATCACAAGATTATGCTTCCAGTGCAGGTCATTAGTAAAACCATGTTACCTTTTCACTGAAATGCAGCATTATTCAATGTGTGCAAGGAGGAGATAGGAGTATGAAGCAAATTGATCAAGATGTGTAT